ATAATGAAATAAAAGGAGCCCTGGTCTCACAAGGGTTAAGCACTCTGCCACTAACCAAAATGTTCAGAGTTTAAATCCACCCAGTGGCTGTAAAGATTACAGACTAGAAAACCCTATGGGGCAGCTCTACTCTGTCACATGGGGTCACTATTAGTCTAAATTAACTCAATGACACCTAACAACAACCTTTATCTACATTCACATGCCAGTCTTCCACCATACCAACTCCTTTTAAGAAAAAAAACGTTTAAAAATCACCTACACAGAACATCGTATTTATTTGCTACTACTTTATTTATAACTCCAAGCTGTCTGTTGCAAAAGGCAACCTCTAAATGGGTTATTTCTAATATTTAATATCAGTGCCTCCCATGGCTTCTTCTCACTCAGTTCTTGTTTAATGACAATGCCACTGTTTCTACAGATGTTGTTTTCTCTTTGATTGAGTTAAAGTATCTCATATCATTAGCTTTACATTGTCAATTATACTTCAAATGCTTTTGTCTCACTCAATTTCTATTTGACCTTAATTCATGTATCAATTATAGACCAGACAGCATTTGACTATAGGCCAAAAAACGAACAACACTTGGACAGAAGAAAATGCTCTAGAAGAAGTCAACATCGAACCTAACAGGGACTTCACCTAACAGGCTCTATCACCTTTGCCTAAAGTTCTTCACCCAACACACAAGCCAGTCTTCTGATTCTGAACACGCATACATCCAAGGCTTACAGTGAAGTTCCCTCTGAGATATTTTATATTAACTATGGTATTGTCTGGTTCTCCCCAAACTAAATAATATGGTATCTCTACTTTCCTCTGTACTTCTGTATTTCTTCTGAATAGACTTTTTTTTTTTCCTTCTTCCAAGGTGCAGCTTAATGATGTTGCTATTTTTACTTCCTAGTAGCACAGCCAGGGAAGTCTCCTGTATTCAATCTTCTTACATCATTCAGAGATCATTCTAGAAGGGAATAACAGACTTCACTGTGACCCTGGAGTCCCTGGGTGACACAAATGGCTAAGTGTTCGACTACCAACTGGAAAAGCTGGTGGCCTGAAACCACCCACAGGCACCTCAGAAGAAAGTCCTGACAATCTGCTTCTGAAAGGTTACAGCCTTGAAAACCCTACAGAGTGCAGTTCTATTCTGCACACCTGAGGTCACCATGAGTCAGAATCGATTTGATGACTAGTTTGGTTTTTCTTTGGTTTATTGTGACCTTAGCAGATTTAAGGAGTTGTTACTAATCTTATGTAAATTTCTGACCTCTACAACTCACCCTTCATTAAGTATTCTTCTAAGTTTAATGTGGATGATATAATCTCCCCATTATAAATACTTGGCCTCATCTCAGAAGAATAGTAATCTTATTTCTATAGGGTCAGCAGTAGTGTCCTCTTTTTCATTTCTGATTTTAGTTATTTGCATCCTTTCTCGCTTTTCCCTTTTCAGTCTAGCTAAAGGTTTGTCGATTTTATTGATCTTTTCAAAAAACTAACTTCTGGTTTCGTTGATTCTCTCTCTATTATTTTTCTGTTCTCTATTTCATTTATTTCTGCTTTGATCTTTGTTATTTCCTTCCTTCTGGTAGCCTTGGGCTTGGTTTGCTCTTCTTCTTTTAGCTCTTAAAGTCCTAAAGTTGTAGAAGCTAGGTTATTGATTTGGGATCTTTCTTCTAATACCATGGTTTTAAAATATGCATAAGTATTTGTCAGACCACATATTCAAATCTTTGACTTGGAAATATAGTCATTCCAGTCACAGGAGATGTCAGGGTCCTGTCAGTGTTTAGAACCTTATGATGTAAACAATTAAGTCTGTAGCTCAGACTGTTTTCCCAGATAACAAACTCTGTGGAAATATCATTCCACTTTGCTCACCTAACCCCAGAATTAGAATCTACCTTGCCCTTTATAATCATTTCATTTCTGTAACTAATGAGGTCTTATATTTCACTTCGGAGAAGGTAACCCCTTTGATATTTTTGTGAGAGCTTATTAGGAGTTTTGATTATTTTGACTGGACAATAATAGTAATACATTAACATCAGGAAAAACTCTCTGAGAAGGCCTTCTTATTTTCTAAATACAGAAAGACATTTCTTAAATTTAGGAAATAAGACCCATTTAAGACTATAAGGCAAAAGGAAAAGTATTATCAAAGGTGCTTAAAGTCAAGTGTCCTGCTATGATTTCCATCACTTCTCCATTCCCTCAAGAATGCTTGCCTTCAAATCCTTACCATACATCTCCCTTTGGGTATCTGGGGATCCAGATCTCTCTGCCATCTCTTAGTTACTGTAGAGAAGCCTCTTCACCTCTGGTCATACCAAATCTATTTTTCAAGAGCCTCAGGCAAGGGGGGAAGATTGGCACAAGAGGAATTTTTTTCACTTCCAGGATAGAACTTTGGTCTGGATATTAAGCTCTCAGTTCCAAATCCACCTTTTGGCTTGTGATGCTGGGGTTGGGACTCCTCACTCTTTTATTGTTCCTTTGACAGCTGTTCCTTATTCACTTCTGCCAACAGGAGGCATTAGAGAGAGACCAGTCACATATAACTTACTGTAGGTATATGCTTGCTTTTTCTGTTATCCTCATAGGTCTTATTCTATAACAGTCACCCTTACTCTTTTTTTCAAGCCATCACTTTATTAGTAAAACCACCATCATTTGTCCCGTGAAAGGTCCCATATCTGGGCCATCATGGCTGTTTCTTCAAGTCTGTATTTCTTATAAACTCAAAATAAGATTGAAATTGAATCCAGTCAAACCTCTATTTTTCAGACAAGAACCCATCATAAATGGTTATATATTTTCTTTATATCAAATCAGAAGGCACATAATGTCAGGTTATTCTACTTTCCACGACTCTAAGATTGATCAGTGGACTCAAAACCTGATCCCTCCATCATAAAAGGAGCTCTGAACTATAAATGCAAAATTACCACTATGATAAGGCTTTGGCATAAGACTGCCAATGTATTCATGATGTATAAATAAAAAGATACATAAAAAAGGAAATAACAAAGGGTGTTCACTAAAGTCTTCCAAGAAGGAACAACCCCAACAGCTCATCCAACTCCTAACAAGCCTTCAAAAATTTTTGTTGATAAATATTCCAAACAATCCTTAAAATTTTTTAAAGGGTCGAAAGTCACGAGTTCCAAAGTCTAATTTCCAGGATTCTTACAATTCAGTATGTGCTCTTAATTCTTTCAATCTATGTACCCATATTTGCCCATCTGAAAATGGCAATAATCATACCAGCCCAACCTTACCTCAAAGGACTACGGGCAGGGTCCAAAGAAATAAGGTTAAGAAAAAGTTTGATGTGGCAAATAAAGATTTAGTCTCATGAATTAGACGAAATTTTATCTTAGAATGAGGAAAAATGCAATGAAATAAAAGCTTGAGAGGCCACCAATAGAAACTGCATCTAAATCTGAAAAGGTACTACGAATGAATTACAAAAAACTGCCACTAGCCTTATAGCAGATATCCTGGTCCTCTATATTTCACTTACTTAAAATTAGCTGCTATTATTGGGCTATTTTCATTGAAAACTACATCACACTAGATGGAGTTCCAAAGCAACAAATCCTATTTCACATGGCCCATCTTAAAATAAAGGTAATCAAACCAGTTATCCTGATACCACAAAACTGAGTTGATGAACCCATCTCAAAGCTACTGAAGTCCTTAAACAAATGTTAATTTAAAACAGGAAAATGTACGGAGTTCAATCTTGTAAGTCACCATTTTCATATACAAAAACGTATTTTTTATACCTTACGTAACTTGAAAAATATTCAGCATATACCAAAGAAGCAATTCCTTCCTGCAAAGATTAAGCTCCATAATGTGGTTCTGAAAATAAATGCTGTGTGAAATAATGGGCATAAATGATTCGTTACCAACCAAGTGACCTTGGAGAATCAGGCCTCAGATCTACTCTCCTCAGCGCAGCTCCAAAGAAACCTTTTAACCATACTTTGCATTTTGATGAGGATGCTGGTTTGGTAACTCATCAAATATTATTTTAGAGAACTAAGTAATCTGAATCTAGTTATTTTTGATTTTATATTATAAATACATAAAAGCTGCTATTGTATGATCCCTCATATGAAATATCTAGAATAAGTAAACGTTCAGAGACCAAAGTTTATTAGTGGTTACCACGGGCAGGAGAGAAGGGGAAAAGGAGAGTCACTGCTTAGGGAGCACTGAGCTTCTGTTTGTTAATGGTGGTGGAATGATTTGGAAGGATAGTGGTAATGGTTCCACAGCATGATGAATGTAATTAATGTCACTGAAGTGTACATGTAAGAAATGTTGAAATGACAAATGTTTTGTCATACATTTCCACCAAATAAAAAGTTAAAAAACAAAAACTGCAGTTTCCCTGCACCCCTTCTCCAAGGTAAGCTTTAAGAAATTTCAGGTTCCATCATCTGGAAGAGTCAGACATTTTCTAACCTCTTCAACTCCGGAGTCTCAAGTTCTCGCCATGACATCATTACTATGCCTTGGAAACTGCTGACACAGGCCAGTCAACTATAGGAAATAGTTTTGTGTTTATAAACAATCACTACAATGTCATCATCTGAGCAAAAGGGAGAAGAATAACATTTTAAGATAAAGTTTATGTAACAGGCATTTAAACAGGCACTTCATATTTACATACAAGTGGCAAATTATCAGAAAGATCTCAAATCAACAAGATCCCATCAGGGTGGGACTGAATAAGGAAGACTACCCAGTTAAGAAACCTATTTCAACTTTTACTTTTAAATACACCTCAGAGAGCAGATTTTAAAAAGCTATACTGTGATCTTACTAAGGAAACTCCCCAACTAAGACACAGACCATAAGAATGAAGGGTTTTATGTTCTAGCACACTCAAAAACTGGGAGAAGGAAAAGTCTTTGGAAAAACCAATAGCAGCAGCTTTAGATACTGAGACTTTAATTTTAAACATAGAAATTCTTACCTCCCACTGTAAGTGAGGCGGGATATTTCGTATTTGAAGTTTCCGAATCCTGCAGAAGAATTAAAAAATTTTAAGCTTTAAAAATGTTTAAAAACAAAAGACATTAACAGCCAACATGGAAGTTTAGAAGCTATTTAATATATTACATTTTATACTAAATATACACCTATATACACACACACACACACACACACACACACACACATACACACATTTTTTAAATGCAGCTCAAGAAGGAAAAACGAGGAGACATGGCTACTCAGAAAATGCACACTGAGACCATTTGGAGGCCCAGTATTATTGGGTTGTTGCAGCTGATTTTAAAAGCCATTACAGTTGGCAGCTACAATGTTTGAAAAACATTCTGCCTGATGACTATATTCTAAATTTAAGTCCACTAGCCTAAAATAAAGCATCCCAGGACACAAACAAAGCCTTAGAGTTCAGGTGTTCTTAATCTGGGATTGTAGTCAGAGGTCCATGGATGGAATTCAGGGAGTCCATGAGCTTGAATGGGAGGATCGTATTTTCATTTTCACTACCCTCCAACTGGAATTTAGCATTTCCTTCCATTATAAATACGGGCAATAAACCATAGCAGACTTAACAGTACTTCTAATTTTGTTACCAATATAAATCAGACATTTTCATATCACATTAAGTTGTTGCAGATCTTGAAATATCACCTACACTCATTACTCTGAAATTCAGTCATGTTGCTAGAAATTACTTATTATGTCAAGAAGCACATATCAGTATATCACAAGTTTTAACATTTTGCTAAGCATATTTCAAAATAATTGGTTTCCTCTCTAAGCCTATGTGTTTTGTTTTATGCGTTTTAAAACATCCTAAAAAGATTTCAGACTGCCGAAGATGGTGCCTGGCTACCACCGCCGACCGCTCTAACAGGGATCACAATAGAGGGTCCTGGAAAGAATGGAAGAAAAATGTAGAACAAAATTCAAGTTCACAAAAAAAGACCAGGCTTACTGGTCTGACAGAGACTGGAGGAACCCCCAAGACTATGGCTCCCAGACACCTTTGCTAACTAAAAACTGAAGCCACTCCTAAAGTCCATCTTTCAGCCAAAGATTAGACAGGCCTATAAAACAAACTACACACGTGGAGAACGTGCTTCTTAGTTCAATCAAGTATATGAGACCAAATGGGCAACACCTGTCCAAAAGCAAAGACTAGAAGGCAAGAAGGGACAGGAAAACTGGACGAATGGACACAGGGAACTCGCGGTGGAAAGTGGGAGAGTGCTGACACACTGCAAGGATTGTAACCAATGTCACAAAACAATTTGTATATAAATTTTTAAAGGAGAAACTAAATTGCGCTATAAACTTTCACCTAAAGTACAATAAAAAAATTTTTTTTTAAATCAAATGATATATCCTAGTCATCTTTAAACAGTATTTTAACAAAGTACTCCAACAATTAAAGGTTGCTTTCCCCGCTAAAAAAAAGATTTCAGACTTCCAAAGGAGTCCGTGGTACAGAAAAGGTTAAGAACCCTTTCCTTCGTTCAAACATACACACACTCACATGTGTGTGTTCTTCTACTCCCCCCCAATCCTTCCCCCAACACTGTCTGAGGCATTAAAGAGAAAAAGAGCAAGAGAAAGAAAGAGAACACGGTACGTTAATTATGCTAAAGTGTACTATAGATGCCACCCACCAAAAACACCCTCTTAAGAGGGGAAAGGAATTTATAGCCAACTAGCTATTAAAATCTTGCTTGCTCAAAGTGAAGGGACTTGAAGCACTTACTGATGAAGATCAAAGGCTACAGCCTTCAGTATGGATTATACCTCAGCATAAAGAAAACAAACTCCTCACAACTGCGCCAATAAGCAACATCATGATAAACAGAGGAAAGACTAGAGATGGCAGGGACTTCATTTTACTTGGATCCACAATCAACACCCATGGAAGCAGCAGTCAGGAAATCAAACAACGCATTGCACTGGGCAAATCTGCTGCAAAAGACCTCTTTAAAGTGTTAAAAAGCAAAGATGGCACTTTAAAGACTAAGGTGCACCTAACCTAAGCCACGGTGTTTCAATCGCCTCATAAGCACACGAAAGGTGGACAATAAATAAGGAAGACCAAAGAAGAATTGACACCTTTGAATTATTATGCTGGCGATGAATACTGAATATACCATGGACTGCCAGGAAGAACGAACAAATCTATTTTGGAAGTACAGTCAGAATATTCCTTAGAAGTGTGGATGGTGAGACTTTGTCTCACATACTTTCGACATGTTACCAGGAGGGATCAGTCCCTGGAGGATATTATGCTTGTTAAAGCAGAGGGTCAGGGAAAAAGAAGACGACCCTCATGAGATGGACTGACACAATGGCTGTAATGATGGGCTCCAGCACAGCAATGATCATGAGGATGGTGCAGGACCAGGTAGTGTTTCGTTCTGTTGTACACAGGATCACTATGAGTCAGAACTGACTCAGTGGCACCTAACAACAACAGCTATTAAAAAAAAAAAAAAGAAAAAAGACTAGCAATTGAGCTTGACATCTGGAGTGAAATAATAAAACTACTTAATTTTTAGAATTAGGAATGAGAACTACAGTTAATTTCCTTTTCCAGGTCAATCTACTTTCTCTGAAGCACTGCAGCAAAACACCAGTTTAGACTAGATTCATAGCTTAGTCCTTTGTCTCTTCCCTTCCTCCCCAAATAAGAAAGCAAATAAATGCCACAGATACCATCTAATCCTTAAGGGACTCTAAGGTACATCCTGTTTGTAATCATAAAATGAGGATGGAAGGGAGAAGCACTTTTACCTTACTTTTTTGAGAGGGAAACAAAGCACAACCAACAGGGAACAAAAACCAAAGAGATGGAGAGGAAAAATGTCAAATTTTAGAAAAAAATTTTCCAAATACTACCCAGTCTCAGAATATACAGATGAAATGCTAGCCTGGGATTTACTTCAAAATAACTCATGTGCTCATGGCTGTTAAAGCTAGGGAATGGGTACTATATGTCTCTGCTTTTATGTAAGTTTGATAATTTTCTATAAAAAGCTTAGAGATTTTCTAACAGATTTCAAAACTGCCACATATTGCTTAAGCTAGCAAGAAACTTTGCTCACATTGTGTAAATATTTACCCTGGGTCACCAGGTAAGAATTATTTCCTACACATATGCAAGCACGAATCTGTTTTAATCAAGCATCTGATACTGAAAGAATTAGCAGCACAGCGTTAAGAAACTAAGTATTTATCCTGATTAGGCTCATTTTTCCTTGTGTATATATTACTGAAAATTTTTCCCAAGAGTACACATGTAAATGTACATACGGAGTTCAGGTAAATTAGCAGGTAATTGCTCATATTACAAAAGCAAACACCTGCTTCACAGAAGGACTCCCAAGAAACTCTTTAAATAAGATACTATATCTTTTGTATAGTCAAAGTAATCCATTGGTCATGTTTTCCCAAGGACTTCCTATGCACTCTGTAAAATGTACATCCAGCACAGCACCCACTTATTTATTGGAAGTTTCTCCAGACTAATTATTTCCCTTAAATGGTTGTCCAGCTTCCACTATCTGATTCTCTCAAGTTTCATTTCAGACAAACGAAGTATTTTCATACAGTTAGTGTTCTGGCCTCTAAAATTGTTTTTCACCCATTTACCCACTAACCCAAACAGAACAAAAAAACAAACCCTTTGCTATCAAGTAGATTCCAACTCATGGTGACCCCGTGGGTTACAGAGTAGAATTGTGCTCCACAGGGTTTTCTTGGGTGGCACAAATGGTTAAGTGCTGGGCTACTAACCAGAAAAGCTGGAGGTTTGAACCCACCCACAGGCGCCTCAGAAGACAGGCCTGGTAATCTGCTTCCTGAAGGTCACAGCCTTGAAACCCTATAGAGCAGTTCTACTCTGCACACATGGGGTCACCGTGAGTCTGAAATTGACTCAGTGGCAACTAACAACAATAATCTTTACAAAAGCAGTTCGCCAGGTTTGTCTTCCGTGGAGCGGCTGGGTGGGTCCAACCCTCCAACTTTTAGGTTAGCCAAATGCAAATGACTTGCACCACCCAAGCTCCTATTTACCCATTAACTAACCTTAAACTCTGCATAGTTTCACCTCTGGCTCCACTGTTACCAGTACAAGAGCCACAAGGCTCCACGTTAGAGGCACCAACCAAGGCGTACACTGTACTCTCCCACGACAGAAACACAAAATTCCAACCAGGAAAAAAGTTGAGAATATCTACCCTACTCAGCTCATCAGACTGTACTTATCAAGCTGGCTATTGCAGTATGATGGATTACTTCTGTGTGGCCTTTCTAGCCATGGTCTTACCTCCCACCCAAATGATTGGGCGAGATGTGCAGATATGGTAATTGTGGCACACCAAAGAGATTGGTCAGTTTTGCCATCCCGGTGGGCTTGAGATGAGCCACCCCAGAGGAGAGAAAAGGTCCCACCACCAAGTAAGAACAGCCAACAGCGAAGAGTGCATTCCAGGATCCCTGTGCTAAGAAGCTCTTGGAACCAGAAGAGAGAGAGAGAAGCGGAGACCCAGCAGCAGGGGACGGCGTGGTGGGCTTATGTCCATGGAAAAAGAAAGCTGAGCGCCTCTGGGTGGAAGCCAAGGGCCAGGGAGAGGCGTGCCTATGAGCACAGCGGGGAAGAGGCTGTCCTGACAGAAGAACTGTATCCTGAGCGTTCCTGAACCTGAACTGTAAATGTTACTTCCCTAATAAACCCCATAATCATGAGTATTGTCTGTGAGTTCTGTGTGGTCACTGCAATGAATTCCTGAACCCAGCAGACAAATAGAGAGTGCTGTGGGAGGGATGGCTGGCGTCAGAATTGGAAAAGATGGCGGAGAGGGGAGGCAAGTCAGACCTCTGCCTCACAGGATCAGCCCTGGGCTATTGATCTTGAATTCTCCTTCCCCCTTGCGAAGTCAGAGGAGGTCAGACACGGCCCCCATGCCATTTTTACAGCTATACACAATTAAAACACCATCAGCTGATCATCTCCCACCTGAGC